AAGGGAAGGGTGACTGCGAGCGCTTTTTATTTGATGGATGTTTGGAAAATTTTTTTGTGTTCCAAATTTTTTGTCGAATTGGGGGGGGTTTTGGGTGTATGCGTGTGTTCATGTGTGTTCAATTCAATCATGTGGTGTTCCTAGTTGTGGATTGATGCTGGCCCTCAGATTTTCTTCCCGTGCCATTGGCACCTATGCCGTCGCCTCGAGAAAAACTGTCAGGAAAATAGGGTTGTTGTAAATATTGGTGATTATGACTCTTGGCATCATACCAACGATAATTGGACTGCACGTTCCAACAGAATCACCTATGTTCAAAACAGCCCTATTTTCCTAACAGTTTTTCCAGAAGCGACATAGGTGTGCCAAAAAGGCGTCTCTCGGCAAACAAAACAAAAATGGAACTAGATGTTCATACACTCGTTTGAGGACGTTGCAGCATGTCCTCACACCCACCAGGGTGAGAGCCTGCCACAGCTGTTAATACCATCGTATATATATATATGCCTAAGTTGTTTTTTTAGATGGGTTTGAACAACCAACTGATAACTGAAATCATACAGTTCCTCTATTTAACACGGAAACGTTACAGTACCATCCGCTGGATGAGAGGGAAGTCTTTTCCATGGGTCGTCAACGCTTTACTGAACAGAGACCTCTCAGCCTCCTGCCACACATCACTACCTGGAGTAGAGAGAGAGTGACAGAGAGAGAGAGAGGGAAGAAGACGCGGTGATATCTTCGTCTCACGTGGAGAGATGAGGCAGGAAGAGGAGAGCCCGTGGAGAGAGGAGAGGAGAGGAGAGAGAGAGACGAGAGCTGATGGATGAGTGACGACGACTGGAGAGAGCGGGAGCAGAGAGAGAGAGAGAGAGGAGAGAGCGTGAGAGAGAGAGAGAGAGAGAGAGAGACAGAGAGAGAGAGAGAGAGAGAGCGTGAGAGAGAGAGAGAGTTTCCGTTTAATAACAGTATTAATAGTAGTGTGGTTTGTGTGATGTGTGTGTGCTGTGGGTTAGGGTTAGGTCGTGTGGTTCACTTGAAATACTCCCTGTAAAGAACCTGCTCTGACTCTGAAACACACACACTGCACCGTCTACTAATAGCCTAATACACCCTGTATAAAACAGCACTAACGTGGGGCTCCCGAGTGGCGCAGCGGTCTAAGGCTCTGCATCTCAGTGCTTGAGGCGTCACTACAGACCCCCCCCGGTTCGATTCCAGGCTGTATCACAACCGGCTGTGATTGGGAGTCCCATAGGGCGGCGCACAATTGGCCCAGCGTCGTCCGGGTTTGGCCGGTGTAGGCCGTCACTGTAAATAAGAATTTGTTCTTAACTGACTTGCCTAGTTCAATAATTAAATTAAATAGTATTCCAAGTTAAATCGCTAGAACCTTTTGTTGGCTGACAATAGTTTGTTCTGATACTGAGACAAAGGTGAACTGAACTGACAGTGGGTTTAGACTACAGTACTGTATAGTGGGTCTAGAGTACAGTACTGTATAGTGGGTTTAGACTACAGTACTGTATAGTGGGTCTAGACTACAGTACTGTATAGTGGGTCTAGAGTACAGTACTGTATAGTGGGTTTAGACTACAGTACTGTATAGTGGGTCTAGACTACAGTACTGTATAGTGGGTCTAGACTACAGTACTGTATAGTGGGTCTAGACTACAGTACTGTATAGTGGGTCTGGACTACAGTACTGTATAGTGGGTCTGGACTACAGTATTGTATAGTGGGTCTAGACTACAGTACTGTATAGTGGGTCTAGACTACAGTACTGTATAGTGGGTCTAGACTACAGTACTGTATAGTGGGTTTAGACTACAGTACTGTATAGTGGGTCTGGACTACAGTACTGTATAGTGGGTCTAGACTACAGTACTGTATAGTGGGTCTAGACTACAGTACTGTATAGTGGGTTTGGACTACAGTACTGTATAGTGGGTTTGGACTACAGTACTGTATAGTGGGTCTGGACTACAGTACTGTATAGTGGGTCTAGACTACAGTACTGTATAGTGGGTCTAGACTACAGTACTGTATAGTGGGTTTGGACTACAGTACTGTATAGTGGGTTTGGACTACAGTACTGTATAGTGGGTCTGGACTACAGTACTGTATAGTGGGTCTAGACTACAGTACTGTATAGTGGGTCTGGACTACAGTACTGTATAGTGGGTCTAGACTACAGTACTGTATAGTGGGTTTGGACTACAGTACTGTATAGTGGGTTTGGACTACAGTACTGTATTATACTAAGTCTATGACAGCTAACAGTCTGTTTTATTTAGTGTGTGAAGAATCAGCATAGAGGTCATGGAACAGGTAAATGAGTGGAGATATGGGTGAGAGGTCAGAGGTCATGGAACAGGTAGATGAGTGGAGATATGGGTGAGAGGTCAGAGGTCATGGAACAGGTAGATAAGTGGAGATATGGGTGAGAGGTCAGAGGTCATGGAACAGGTAGATGAGTGGAGATATGGGTGAGAGGTCAGAGGTCATGGAACAGGTAGATGAGTGGAGATATGGGTGAGAGGTCAGAGGTCATGGAACAGGTAGATAAGTGGAGATATGGGTGAGAGGTCAGAGGTCATGGAACAGGTAGATAAGTGGAGATATGGGTGAGAGGTCAGAGGTCATGGAACAGGTAGATGAGTGGAGATATGGGTGAGAGGTCATGGAACAGGTAGATAAGTGGAGATATGGGTGAGAGGTCAGAGGTCATGGAACAGGTAGATGAGTGGAGATATGGGTGAGAGGTCAGAGGTCATGGAACAGGTAGATGAGTGGAGATATGGGTGAGAGGTCAGAGGTCATGGAACAGGTAGATGAGTGGAGATATGGGTGAGAGGTCAGAGGTCATGGAACAGGTAGATAAGTGGAGATAGGGGTGAGAGGTCAGAGGTTCAGCACCTCGACATACAGATACTAGTTGTGGACTTCAGCTCTGCATTCAACACCATCATCCCATCCCAAAGCTGCTGCAGGACAAACTAACCCGGCTGAACGTATCTGACTCCATCTGTCGGTGTGTGTCGCTGACTTCCTGACCAACAGGACAGGTAAAGCTGGAGAGATACAGTATCTCTCAAGACTCACTGTCCCTCAGTACACACTATATGCAAAGGCACATTTTTACCTTTACGGGTCAAACACTCCAGTGCACAAGTCTGAAAACGTAGTTTCTGGAAATTTGTGGGCACGTGTCCCAACAGTGTTTGGCTCTGCACCCTCCTGTAAACCCCAGATAACGGACCGCTTTTGTGCGCGGACGGACGGACGGACGGACATGTATACGTCTGGAGACGGTTCAGTAAATCCCCAGAAACGACCACACGCCTCCACCCACTTACCTGAAATTCCAGTGCACGCCTTTGACGTCAGTCACAATACACACCTCCGCCCACGTCTCTACCATAAATGTCAGTAAATGGCCGCACACTAGCTCAAGGTTGCGCATGCTTATCTGCCCCACTGAATGCTAATGCTAGTCATTGCTAGCTTGGCTTAGTGGCTGTCACTGGTATATTAAAAACACAATTCATTATTTAATTAATGAATGAATAAATTACTTTTAATTATTTGTGTTATTATTAATATTATTATAATTATTATAATAACAATAATTATAATTATTATCACACATCAGGGTTCCTACATCTTTTCAACAACAAAAAATCCAAGCACCACTATCAAAATTTTTCCAGCACCTCACGACATCGCTATACTAAAACAACTCTTAGTTCCTTGACTAAAACACACAAATGCACTTCTTGAAGGATGACAATTCATTTCAGTGGTGCCGGAGAAGGCAGATAATAGTATCTGCATTTAAGGTTAATCAGGGCCTGAAACTAAAGTAACCCCCATGGAGGCTAGCCCTGGGCCAAGCTGGATGAATCCTGCCAGTACTCTGCTCGATTCTTTTGAAATAACTTTTATTAATCTTTGAATGTCAAATGTGGTACTTACCTGCTAACATGGGTTAAATGAGGGGTGGGGGGGACGTACCTCATAGAGAGGAATATGAATGAGAATATTCAAAATTCAAAGAGCAATAATAAGTGTTTTCAAAAGAATCAAGCACAGTACTGACAGGAGTCATCCAGCTTGGTCCAGGGCGAGCCTCCATTGGGGTGGCTATACAGTTGAGGGGTCCGTGGGATATAGGTTGCCTTGATGAAAACTCCCCAGACACGGTCCATGTGCTGTGACTCGTCAAGTAGCTCTGATCCCTCTCCAAGCGGTTCTTGACTAAGGGCAGTGAGCGCCTCACTCCGGAAGTAGGGGTGGGGGGGAGGCTTGACGAAGCACACCGGTTTGCCGTTTTGCAGTCCATCCGCCCTCATCAGGCCCACATTTAACTCCTCTCCAAATGTCTCTCTCGCCCTCTGCAAGCACTCGCAACCGTGCTTTTAGAACCAATAGAACACAGTGAGCGAATGCAACAGATTCAAGTCATGCATATTCATATACTGTACAAGTAATCATAGAATTAGGAATTCGAACACCAGAATGGACATGTAATTCATATAGAATCTGAACTTTAACCCCACCAAACCTACCAAGCCCAGACTGAGAGATAGCAAAGAGGAGATCCAACCTTATCACTTACCTTGATTGCAGTTCCCTCAAACCGTTTTTGATTATCTTGTAAAAATGACTGAGATTATTGGTATTATTGGACTATTGTAAAAACAAT